AAAAAATAAATAAATAAAAATCACACACACACACTGTTATAGTACGATACCTTCAATGCTCCATGAAGTGAGGTGGCAACTTCCTCTGCAACAGATTCATAATATTCGACCCCTTGGAGATTGGGTGTGTAAACTAATAATAGCCACGTCATCCCACCATCAACTACTTCTTTCTTATATATATGAGAATTTACAGATGGTATGCTATTAGAGGAGTGCCTATTTCCATACTGGGACCTGCTCGAGCCGTGTGAACCAAAAAATTTACCACCGTTTCCCCTCGTACCACCAGCATCACCACCACCACCGAAAAAGTTGGAGAAGATATCATCAAAGCCAAAACCAAACGAGCTTTGCTTGCCCGAAGCAGGACCTCCAAAAGAAAACGAGAACGATCTTGAGCCGTCTTGCCCGCCCATATTCTGCCAGTCACCTGGCCTGAAATTAAACCCACTTTGTCCTGATCCCCCACTGGTGAAGTAGCTTCTGTATCCGCCTTCATTTCCAGGATCGCCGGCTCCAAAACCAGGGGTACCCTTTTCATCACCATAGAGATCATAATTCTTCCTCTTCTGTTCATCAGATAATATGTCATATGCTGTAGATAAACAAAATATCGGAAATTTTGTTAGCATCTCAGTACTTGAAGAACTAGATAATCCAGGGACCCAAAAACCCAAAAGAAGAGAAGCATTTAAAATTAGACATAAATCGTGAAAGGGTAACGTTTAACTGGTAACTGCAGTTTGAATGCTCACTCATCTGATAACTGTGTACATGGTACACTGATCCTTTTTCAAACTCCACATAGCACAAGAATTCCTATACAATTGAAAAATTCTACAATTTATATAATATGAAGAGATCAAGAAAGGGAATCTTTAAAAATAATCCTGTCTCGGAGGATACAAGAACTCAAAGAAGACTTGTTTATCTGAATTGTTCGATGGCTTGATTGGGCCATATTGAAAATGCAAAGTAATTCCCATTTGTTTATATAGGAGGGAAATATCCCCAATCCAATACACTCTCCCTAATGTTAAGAGTAACGAAAGAGGAAGTGGCCATACCGTTATTAATTTCCGCAAATTTTTCTTGTGCACCCTTATTTTTGTTCTTGTCAGGATGGTATTGTAGTGATAGCCTGTCAAATACATGTACATGAAAATTGATCATGTAAATGTCAAAACCAGATTGATTAACAAATAAACGGTGGCCTCATTAAGGGAAAACATGCACGTACTTGTGAAAGGCTTTCTGAATTTCACGCTGGCTTGCACTCCTATCAACCCCCAAAACCTGAACATAGAATAAAATTTATGACACCAGTTAATAACACGGATCAAACCATAACATATGTCAAGAAAAAGGAACTAACCAAAGCGAAATTCTGTGTGCTTGACCACATAGGTAATCTCATGCCTAAAACTACAATTCAAAAGATATTCAAAACTACATCCGTTGAAGATAATCCCCACATATAGCTTCCAATATCACGAGCTTGTACCAATTGTCAAAACAGGATGTTCTAAATACAGCAAAATTCCATCCCTACATCATGCACCATAGTCAAATAGGTAAAAATTGTCCACCCCAAACTTATTCTCTGCGCCAGCTCCACATACAACTATCATGCTGATACTATTAAAAACAAAACGGTATCCTTTCTACATACGGACTCATGTTCAAAACATATACTGACAACACAATTTCTGAAACTAGCCAAGACGAAAATAATCCCTTCTCCGTTAATCTAATCCTCCCACCACAGATCCACCTACAACTAATCCTTAGAGTGGAATAATTCCTTCTCATACAATCTACCATGGCAGCCATTAATCAATCCGCCTACCACGCCCACACCTGAAACTAATCCTTATCCTGAATAATTCTTGCAAAATCTACCATGGAGACCACTAATATAACGGGCCAACAACACAAAAACCTAAACCTAATCCTAATCGTGAATAATCCTTCTCGTAAAACCTATCATGTCAGCCATTAATTAACCCAATCCGCCCACCACAAACACACAACTAAACTAACCCTAACCCTAACCCTAGTCGTGAATAACTCCTTCTCGTAAAATCTACCATGGAACCTATCAAACCAATCCGCTCTTCACACACATACCGACAAAAAGGCGGGTCGAAATGCAATACCTTATATGGGTCGGACTTTTTGCAGTCCGCGAGGAGAAGAAACGTCAATCCGACGGCAATCCACGGCAGCGCCGACCGGTTTTTCATGACTAACTCAGTATAAATTCGGTTCCTAGCAGCGATGGAGGAGTTTGTGTACCTGCACTTTTGTATCCAACTGTGAAAGCTCTGTTTTAGCGGTAATTTGGGGGTCTAATTAATAGATTTCGCGGGCGTTAAGAGGAAAAATCCCGAGTGTTCCGAAGTTGGTCTGACGTGTCGCTTTCCAGATGGCTCCACGAGTTTTTAGCCAATGAGGTTCGAGCTTTCCCCATTAACTGCATGGCGTGAGCTCTTTTACGGGCGCGTTTGGATCCCCGATAAATTTTCTAAAATCTCTCCCTATATATTAATTATATATTAATTCAAAACGTGTTAATCTTAGGTGGCAGATTCTCACGGTTCGAATGTTAACATGGCAAAAATCTATACTTCGTGATTTTATTTTTATATTATTTTTGCTATAGAGTTAGGTTTGATATTAGACATAAATAACTTTACACATATATTCATTAACTCAACATCATATTGTACATGGTATTAGTACCGATGGTTTTTAGAGGATTAATTCTATTCTATGGGTTAATTTTTTGTTATTGTGTTGGCTTGTTATTTTAATTTTATTATTTAAACGGTTTATTTAAGTTATTTTCAATTAATGACTTATTTTTATATTTTAGTTCTCAATTTAAAATATCAACTACTTTTTTTAATTTTTACATAAATATATAAACACACTATTATTATTTTAAAATTTATATTTAAAATCATATAAACAGAGTAAAATTACCTTAGTAAAAATTAATTCATTTAAGCTGAATTAATTTTGTATAAATGTAAATTATTTTAATTAATTTTCTTACGAAACAAGTTTTACAAATATACTTAACACTTTTATTACAAGTATTAATTTTACATATTCTTAACTCTTTCAGAATATAAATTTCATTCACAAATTATATTATCTATAACTTTATTTAAATAGTTTATTTTTCTAATGTTATCACATATTTAGATTAAAATCAAGTTACAATTTATATTTTAACTTTTAGAATAAATTTCATTAATCTTTTGCGTATATGTAAATTATGAAATAATTATCTTATTGGGCAAGTTTACGAAATATATTTAATATTTTTCATTATAAATACTTAAAAGTATTATTTTTTTAAAGAGTATTGTGGTTTACAAAATTATGTCAAAATGTAAAGTGATTTGGAGTCTTAAATGAAAGTACAATGTAAAAGTAGGTTTTATATTGAGACTTCTTACACTTGATCTTTCTAATCATGATGGTTTTGTACGTAACAACTATGAAAACCTGAGAAAGAATTGTCTTAAATGAAGTAAAAATTGAGTTGTTTGATGTTGATGATACTGATAATGTATGTGATAGTTATGATTACTGTGTCCCAACATTCTCCAGAAGTCTCTTTTAATTAAAGCAATATTCTCCCACCAATGTTCAAAAAAATCATCCTAAGGATTTAATAATAGAATAAATTATTGAACGTAACACAAGAGTCGTAAAGCTTTTTTTAAAATTTGTTGGTCTTTGTCACTATGCAGGTTATGTTTAAAAGTTGGAACATAATAATGCAAAAGGGACTTTGACTGATGAGTTAATATAATTTGTTAGGAATGTTGTGTGAACTTTTTCCTATGCCCTTTGATTGCAATCTGACAGACACTAAGTGGATTTTAAAAACCAAAACTGATGCGTCTAGAGAAATCACTATGACTAAGGCACGTTTAGTGGCATTGAGGTACACGCATGAAAAGAGTGATGATTATGATGAAACATTTGCCCATAGGTTAGAGTCAGTCAGGATGTTCTTATCCAATGTTTGTTTGGTGTGGTTCATTGTTTATCGAATGGGTGTAAATTTGTCTTTTTAAATGGTTTTATGGAATAAGTTGCCTATGTTAAACAGCCCGAAGGATTTGTTGATCCATACTTTTGTGATCATGTCTATAGGTTCAAGAAAACTTTGTATGAGATCAAACAAGATCTTAGGGCATGGTATGAACAGTTGACATATTTTTGATAAAAAAAGGTTATAGACAAGGTGAAGTTGATCAAACTCTATTTTTTTCGAAAATTCAACAAGGGTATTATTTTCAACATCTTCCTCAGTCACATATTGTTTTGCAAGTCTATTAAACCCCTCGAGAGCAAATCCAGGTCATTCGAATTTGGTCAGTGTTATTTATATTTAAAATAGCATTAGTCGATTTACTTTTTGATATTATAATGTTTGTATAACTCTTGTTATTCAACAAAATTTGCTAGAGAGCAATTTTTAATTGATATTCAGGACTATTATCTTTAAATTATTACCGACATAAATTTTTTACTACAATAATAGAAAATATACATATTTATTTATGTATGCAAATAATTATTTATTTAATATATTATATATATGTTGATCACTATATTTGATAATTAATCCAAAGCATCTATTTAGTGCTGGTAACAAGATAATTAAATTATTAAAAGTTTGTGTATTATGATGAATTTGCGCAATGATGAATATAAATGTGGTCAGATAAATTCATGATTGAAGTCGGATATCCGCTTTTAATGCGGTATTAAATGAGGGAATATGTCTTTTATACAAAAAAAATTTCTGAACTCTTTTCACAGTGGATTTATATGACTATTTATAGTAGGTATGGCTGGTTACTGTTTCTCGAGCAGTACAATTCGAGCACTAAATGAAAATAACAGACACTAAATGTTCATGACTCTACGAATCTTTTGCACATAGGCGCACAAACTTTTTGTCGGACGTGCCCCGTTTTTAGTTATGTGGATGCAAGTTGGTATTATTTTAACACTTTATGCTCGTCTTAGTATGGTTAACTCATGTCTTTGTATATTAATCTATCCCTCAAATTGGACAAGTCTTGAGCCTGGCTCTCCTCACTAGTGATCATCTGGTCGGGTATGCGCTTATGCTATCCGACCTGGGTGTCATATTTACTGTTTGCTCGACATCCGTCTGTTTCTATTCCCAGAGTTCCTCTATTGCTCGCAATCTTCTGACCCGAGTAGTTTACTTGGCGATATATTTATTAAATCATGTTAATTAATCTGAACTCACTCCAGCCCAACTCCGATGTCAACAATATAAAAGCTTATTAACAAATACAAATGAAAATTAAATTTTAAAATTTATTTATAATTTAAGTCACTCAGATGTGTCTTAATTTTAAAAGTTTCAACATGCATGACGAAAGCACATATCTATAATTTCATATGTATCAAATGTAAATTGCACCTTCATTTTTTTTTCCTTCATGAAACAAAATAATTGGACACTTATTATGAAACAAAAATATTTTTAATAATATCCGCACTACTTATAAATTAGAATGTTCAACTCAATTAAAAAATATGTTTTAGTCATCCATTTTCTCAAATAAAAATATGTTTTATTTTCTCAAATAAAAATATGTTTTGTGTTCCTCTTGGTCTTGTTAGGCAAATCATCTGGCTATTTAGCCCCCGACATTGTGTAATCTTTTCTGATGGTATAAATCTTATCGTTTCGATAAAAAAAAATATTCAAGGAAAAAGAATGGTAATGTTTTTTTTTTTTAAACACAATAATATTTGATTGTGAATAATAATAATAATAAAATCGATAAATAAATAATAGTAATAATAATAATAATAATCTCTACTATCTATATATATATATATATATATATATATATATATAAACAGATTTACCATTTTTTAAAAATAGTAAGTCAAAATTCTGGTCAAATTCGGACATATTAATTATTTACTATTAATGAAAATGTTTTTATTTAGTTATTATTTTAACATTCCTTTAATCAAGGATAACTTAATTAGTTGCATATCACATTAATAAATCCCATTACCAAAAAAAGCGTCGTCCTATTTGTTTGGATATCAAGTGAAAATTTTGAACTGATTCAAATTTGTTTAAATTGATAGGATAGCAAAATATATTATAAAAAAAAAAAAAAATCATCCCTTAATTGAAGGGATTTAATATTCAAAAAATACACAATATCCAATCAATATTTTAACGAGTCTGTTGAGAGATTCTATACAATTCAACAAAATTGTATATAATTAAAAACTCATTTTTTTAATTGAAGGGATTTAGAATTTAAAAACTCATTTTTTAATTTGGTCTATCCATAATTCAAATAAACTAAAATCCTTTAAATGAAGGGATTTAATGTTTCTACATTACTAAACAGAAAAATACATCATACACGCATCTATAAAATACACATTCCCAAATATCAAAAACAACATCATTCGGCAATTGAAATCCCCTTCGGTGTGATTAACGTATTCGAAGAAACAAGAGATGTCCGCTAAAACTTCATGTGGTTTCAAAGAATGAGCACGAGTCACCCAATCTTCAGCACAACATCTTGAAGATCCTTTTTCAAGATAGGGAGGTATTTCTCTATTTAATTTTTATTTATTACTATTCAACTACATACACTATCATGTTGTTTAATCATAAATTTCTTATATTTGTAGGGGGCACAAATCATGGGTGTGGTACGCAATGTTTATATTTCGAGGATGATAAAAGATCTACAAGAAGGCAATGTCTATTGTATCCGTCATTATGAATTGGATAGTAACTTCGTGACTATATGTCGACCACGACTCAATTCATATTGATCTTGCATGGACGCACTCAAATCGTACAATCAAGCACTTCATTCGAATGACCCGACTATGAAATCGGCAAAAATTTGGGAATGGCAAGGCAAAGATACATGATTATCATCATTAGGCAATAATATGGATGAATATTGTCAATCTACAATAGGAATTTATTTTTTCCTATTCAATAATAGTTTTATTTTAATGTTATATTTTATGGCTTGAGAACTTGGGATGATTGAATAAAACACGTTATTTGCTCTTGAATATATTTTGTTTTTGGTTGATGCGTGGTATTACGTATTTTATTTAACATTGTTTATTCATTCTTTCTTTATTATTTAACTCAATTAAAAATATCATCATGCAGTCTAATACA